GGGTAAGATTCCACTGTGTGTATATAAACCACATCTTGTTTATCCATTCATCTGTTGATGGACATTAAGGTGGTTTCTACCTTTTGACTATTGTGTATAGTGCTTCAGTGAACATTGGTGTACAGGTTTCTATTGCGTTCCTGCTTTCAAATATTTTGGGTATACTTAGGATTGAGATTGCTGGGACATATGATAGTTCTGTGTTCAACTTTTTAAGGAACTGCCAAACTGTTTTCCACAGTGGCTGTGCCATTTTACCTTCCCACTAGCAGTGGATGAAGGTTCTAATTTCTCCGTATACTTGCCAACACCTATTGTTTTCCATTTTTTTAATCAAAGTCATTCTAGTGGGGGTAAGGTGGTATCTCCTTGTGATTTTGATTTGCATTTTCCTAGTGCTTGTTGGCCATTTGTATATCCTCTTAGGTGAAATTTCTGTTCAAGTCCTTTGCCCATTTTCTGATTCGGTTGTTTGTCTTTTTGTTGTTAAGTTGTGGAAGTTTTTTTTTTTTTTTTAATATATATATTTATCTTAGTCATCTAGTACTGCTATAACAGAAATACCACAAGTGGATGGCTTTAACAAAGAGAAATTTATTCTCTCACAGTCCAGGAGGCTAGAAGTCCAAATTCAATGTGCCAGCTCCAGGGAAGGCTTTTTCTCTCTGTCAGCTCTGGGGGAAGGTCCTCATCCCCATTCGAGGAGCTTCCCAGCACAGGGACCCTGGGTCCAAAGGACACGCTTTTCTCCTGGATCTTGTTTCTTGTTGCTATTAGGTCCCCGTGTCTCTCTGCTCGCTTCTCTCTTTTATATCTCAAAAGAGACTGATTTAAGACACAACCTAATCTTGTAGATTGAGTCTTGCCTCATTAATGTAACCGCCTCTAATCCTGCCTCATTAACATCATGCCCATAAAACGTTGCCATCGAGTCAATTCCAACTCATAGCGACCCTATAGGAGAGTAGAACTGCCCCACAGGGTTTCCAGGGAGTGGCTGGTGGATTCAAACTGTGACCTTTTGGTTAGCAGCCAAGCTTTTAACCACTGGGCCTCCAAGGCCCCCATTAACATAATTGAGGTAGGATTTACAATACACAGGAAAATCACATCAGATGACAAAATAGTGGACAATCACACAATACTGGGAATCATGGCCTAACCAAGTTGAGAGATACTTTTGGGGACATAATTCAATCCATAACAATATTTTTTTTCATACTAGATCCTTATCAGATATATGAGTCCCAAAAGGTTTCTCCCAATCTGTTCCTTCTGGTTTTGTATGATTTATACTAAATTTGTTAATCTATCTAAAATTTATATTAGTATAAGAAATCTGAAATGTGAGCTTCCTTTTAGGAAGGATCTTTTTTTTTCCTTTTTTAGAGATAAACTCTGAAGTAATCTCTTGGACTTAAAAAGAATCTTTGTTTATTTAAGTAAACAACAACAACGACCAAAAAAACAGTAACTAGTTGCTGTCAAGTCGATTCCAACTCATGACAAAGCCATGCGTGTCAGAGTAGAGCTGTGCTCTACAGGGTTTCCAATGGCTAATTTTTTGGAAGTAGATCACCAGGCTTTTCTTCCAAGGTGCCTCTGGGTGGACTTGAACCTCCAGCCTTTCAGTTAGCAGCCAAGCACGTTAACCATTTCAGCTGCCCAGGATCTCTGTTTATTTAGGTTCCCTGTGGTAAATCCCTGCTCTTTGTTGATGAGAAGACAAAAAAGATAGACTAGAACCCAGGGTTACCTATGGCTAAACAAATTTAGGCAAGTTTTCAAGTAAGACTAAATTTGAATTTGTTATCTTGTCCTTCATGAGCACCAGATGGCCTCTGGTTTTCCTTCCATTTATTGTGAAAAGTTAAGCAGTCTCTTATTGCCAAATGGATTTTTACCCATATAAAATGAAAAACTTAATTTGTCAAGAATCTTAAAACATGTTTAGTTAGTTATGAGAAGACAAAAAGATTATCTGGTGTATTATTCACGATTACTTGCAAATTGTACTTGTTATTCACTTAAGATGTGTCTGAACTTAACAGTAGTTTCTCTGTGCTTTTCCCTCTTAAAGGTCAGGCTTTATTCTCCAAAGTAGATCAAACCAGAAAAGGGATTTTGAGATGGCAATTATAACTCTTTGTGCTCTTCTGCAGGACTCTGAAATAAGCCTGAATAAGGAGGAAAAGAACTTCTGATTGTTTCTAAACTAAACCATACTGGAGCACTTTGGTATTTTTTAACAGGATTGTGGTAGAGATTCAGGTTAATTATTTTGTCCCAATGCCATAATTGAATAATCCATCTTTTTCCCACTGATTTCAGATCCCCATTTTTATTTTAGTCATTTCTGGTTTCTGTTCTGGTCTTCTATCCAGTTTTTTTCTCCTCCAGTTTATCATCCACATTGCAGGAAGAAGGCTTCTTTTAAACAGGACATGTAATCCTGTTAACCCCCTGTTTAGCTGTGTCAGTGAATAAAGTCTTAGAATCAAGTCCACAAATCTTAACATGGCTCACATACCCCTCCATCCAGCTGTGGCCTCCACTCAGACCACCCTGCCCCTCCCTCACCATGCTTCAGTCACACTGACCTCGTAGCTCCTTTTTGGGGAGTATGCTCTTTCTTCTGTGGGTAACATTCTTTCCTCCATGGGTTAACACTGATATAGCTAAATACCGATCTGTCCCATAAGGACGTCTTACCTCACTTACCCCACCCCTAACATGCTAGGTTCACCTGTTACATGGTCTAAAGGCTCTCTATACTTTTCCTTCAGAGCACTTATTTACATATCTATAAGTAGTTATTTGTGTAATTACTTATTAACTACCTGTTTTTCCTGAGACTGTAATTTCAAGAGGGCTTCATCTGTCTTTGTCACTATTATATCTATAGCACATGGCCCAGTGCCTGACACATAGTAGATGCTCATTAAATATTTGTTGAATAAATGTAAGAATGTCATTTAGGTATTTGTTGAGTAAATGTAAAAGTGTCTTCACGTAACTCATAGTCTAGCAAGAGGACCACAACAATTAATTGCAACACAAAGTGTTATTAAATAAATGTGTGTGTGTATGAAGTCTTGCTATGGAAAAGAGGGAAATTAGTATCAGTCCTGACGTGGTTGGCACCCAGCTCACAGAGCCCATTATGACCCAAGTATAAACAGGGGATAGTTAAGTGACCTGGCACTTACTCAGAAGGTGATAAGGAATGGTAGAACACACATGGTGCCACCAGAAGAGAGAAGGAGCACCCAGGCCTCAAGGGGAATTATATTTTCTGATGAAGTGACTGCTAAGCTGAGATCAGAAGGAGGCATAGGAATTAGCTGAACTAAGGTGGTGGTTGGGGAAAAGGGTATGGTGATAGGAACAGAAGCAGGATTACTCTAGGCCAAGGGAAGAGCACGTGCAAAGGCCATAGGTGAGAGAGACTGCTCAGGGAATAGTCTGGTCGGAGCCCAGAGATGAGGAGAACGAGGGGGTAGAGAATGTGAAGTAAGCCTTGAGAAGTAGGAGGAGGCCAGCCATCCTGGGTCTTATCAGCCAACTTAGAGATTTGGACTGCATCCTTTGGCCATTGGGGTGCCATGAAGGTTTCAGTAAAGGTTTCAGAGGGGGTATGATCATATCCACATATCAGAAAGATCACTCTGATGACAGGGCCCAGGAGGAAGGCTAAGGAGAAGGTCAGTGTGGTCATCTGGGCAGAAGATTTGTAAAAATGGCCTGGTGGGCCAAAAAGGGCATCTGACCGCCTCTAACTTCACAAGGTGGTAGGAGAATCAAGATCAACAGCCCAAGGCTGATTGCTATAAGGCAGAGGTCAGACATGCCTCCACCCGCCAACCTTTTTACCAATTCTTACACCAACCGTCCCTCCCATGGCACTCTCTACTTCTCTGCTGGGTTCAGTAATTCGTTGCAATGGCCACACAGAACTCACAGACAATACTCAAGATTATGGAGTCTATTAGGAAAGTAACAGGTTACAATTCAGGTTCAGGAATGCTCAGGCTACAGTTCTTCGATCAGGATAACCTCTTCTCAGCTGTGTCCACAGGCGTGCCTCTCTCTGGCCCCTCAGCCTCCGCCCTGCTTGAGCAAGTGTTACAAAGCTCTTTTAGCTCTGCCAGTAAGTGCCCAGAGGCACCCTACTCTGCCAGTGAGCCTCAGCCTGAAGGCTGTCAGCTCTCTTGCTCCGTGGGTCAGCAAGTCTAGCTTTGACAAGTGTCCGGAGGCACTTGCAAGCCTCCTGCCGGTCCCCTGGTTCTGCTGCCTCTGCTGCTGCCATTTCTCTGTTGCTATTCCTCGCCGTCTTGCCATCTTCAGTGTTACAGCTCTCTCTCTGTCTCCTGGGCCTAGGAGAGTCTCCACACAGAGATCCTAGATCCAAAGGACACACTCTGCTCCCATCTCCCTCTTCTTTCTTGATGGTAGTCAGGTCCCCTCTCTGCTCTGGAATTGGCTCTCTTTTAAGCCTAAGGGGATGGCAAAACTGACCAGTCCCCTCGTTAGGGTTCCATACACCTTATTTGCATGGTTCCACCCCCACAAATATGCCATGCACCTTATATACATTATTAGTAAGCTATCGGATCCCCTTGGTGGGCCACGAGCACCTCATTTGCATAGTCCCATCCAGTCTTTTGGTGAGAGTTACAAGACCATGATGAAAAAGGCCATGTAAAAGTGATCCATCACACCACAAGATTCTCACAGTTCCCAGCAGATGCTGAGGTTGGGTCTGCTGTGGCCAGGATCTTCTCAGGGAGGAAAGGAAGAAGGGAGTGTAGAAGAACCACCCTGCTCTGGCTTCCACTCTCCACCAAGTCTGGTCGGGGACGACAGAGTCTTGGGTACTAGTAGGGCAAGTTAAGGTTGTGAGACCTGGGGTTCAGCTCTTTCCACTCCACCACTGTGGCTTGGGCAGGTGGGGCATCACATAGTTTTCATGAGGTGAATTGTCATTGTTCTGTATTTAGTGCAAGAGACTGTGAGGGCCCAGAGTGACCTGGTGCTTGAGGCAGTGCAGGACAAAGGCAGCACGGAGCAGACCATCCTCGAGATGCAGAAGAGACTTGAAGCTGTAAGTGTACACCCCAGGCCCTTTCCTCAAGTTTGTTTTTTGTTACTAAGACCCTGAGAGACACCATTAAAGTTGCAAATTCTCAGCCAAGACCAGAAGCCAGCACAGGCCCCTTGGTAACTGACCCAGGTAGAGGCCAGCCTCCTCCCCAATGTTCTGGTATGATGTGGGCCGCCATGCTTCCCTGTGGGCTACCCAGCAGGGGCGAGCCTCGGTTTTGTTGGCACATCCTTTGGTTTATTCTCATGTTTTATTGTGCATTCTGAGTTGTTGCACTGTCTGTCACTCCTCTTTCTCACTGCCTTTCCCCAGAGACAAGCAGAGTTTGTAGAAATGAAGTCTAACCTGAAGCACCTTGAAGTCTTAGTTGCCCAGCAGAGCAAGGACTTCCAGCAGCTGTGTGAGCAGCTAGGCCAGCTGAACGTACCCGGTGTCCTAGCAGACCTGAAGAAATTTATCTCGGTGCCTCGAGTACATGAGCATGTGAAAGACAGCACTTCCCAGACCTCACCAGCTCCAGCCCAGAGCTTCAGTTTCACCAGGCGGGAAAAACTGGCCTCTGAGGAACCAGTTAGATGGCAGGCCCAGCCCCTCGCAGCTGCATGGAATCCCAGTGTGGGCTCTCTGTGGCCTAGAGAGTTTGGCATCTGGGGTGAAGGAGCAAAGAGCGATATTCACCGAGAAGAGGCCACACTGCCAGCAGCTGGGCTCAGTAAAGGAAACAAACATGTACAGGACAAGGAGGTGCAGACTAACTGTGAGCAGTGTGCCCTTATTAAAATAGAACCTGAGAACCATGACCCTGGCATCCTGGGCCACAAGGTTCCTGGCGACAGGGACTTGGTCTCTCAGGGAGACTCACAGCTCATATCCTTAGATTTAAACAACTTTGCAGCTAGCATTAAGAACTCCTGCCGAGAATGTCAGGCCAAAGGTATGTTTTCACGTGATCCCTGTGGACAAAGTTTGGTAACCGAACCGAAAGGCAGGACTGTAGAAAGAGGGAAAAAAGGCAAGAAGCAGCGGCCTAAGAAAGCCCACAGAGGCAGGCTCCTAGCCAGGAAGCGAAAACAAACCCCAGGCAAGACCAGTGCTGTCAAATCTAAAAATCAGGGCCCTGAGCCTTCAGTTTCGGATCCACAAGGGCCCTCCCCGGGGCAGCAGGAACCCCTTCAGCAGCCTCTGCGTCTCCGGCGTTCCAGGAACCCCACAAAGCCCGTCAGCCCCGCTATGGGAGGGGCAATCATGCCCAGTAAGGCGGCGAGGGCAGTGCAGGGAAGACTCCTGAGGCTTGGTACACTTCCTTCCCAACACAACAGCCTGCTTTCCAGCAGCCCGCAGGCGGACCACCAGATGAGCTGGTTCAGCGACCTCAGCCTCAGAAGTTCAGAGCCCCCTTTGTGCAAGGAGCCAAGGAAGAATCTGTTCTATGACCTGGCTTTTGATAGCAGTGATGATGGCTTCTGACCAGCCGACAGTGACTTCAGCGGATGGTGTACTGGTCTCAGTTGGAGGGACACACTGCAGAACAGTTGGTCTGGCCAACAGCAGAAAGCCCCTGCAGCTTGCCTGGGACCCTCAGGGGCAGAAGCCCTGCCGGGTGAGGTCACTGGGGAGGGAGGCAGACCTGGTGTTCTGGGTACCAGGTACTGCCCCTGACAAGAGCCCTGTGGGATAAGTGCACCCTTATTTATTGGAAGGAAGCATGCAAAGACAAAGGTGATGTAAGCTGGGCCAGTGCCTGGTTGTGAGACATTGGAAAGAGGGCAGCTGTGTTTAGTGAAAAGGAGGAATATCTTGTACAGAAGGGTCCTCACAAAGCCGCTGCTGTGGCAGCACAGCTCCCCAAACACGACATTTGGCCTTCAGAATGTCCGTCCCCCTCTTCATGACCGGTACATCTCTGGGCCTCTGGTTGTTTTTTTTTTTTTTTCCTTGCTTTTATCGAGTTATGCTGTCTGTGTTTGCATTTTCTGGTCAGTGAACACATTGGAGAGCATATAAAGATGGTCTTTTTGTGAACAGAGAAACGGAGAGTATTAGAGCTGCCAACAAAAGAGAAGTGACAGGTACCAGACAAACACCCAGAGCACTGCTGCTCACAAGCCACAGGACTCCATTCTTCTCCCTGGATGTTTTTTCCAATCTTATTTTTCAGCCACTTTGATGCTGTGTGTACCTTATATTATTTCTGGGAGCAGTGAACTACTTATAGGAGACTTTGTCTTTCCATTTGTCTTGCTGAAGTTTTTGAATTTTTGCAACTTTTATGTGTTTTGTAATGAAAAATAAAGAAACGTTCATTTTAAAGCATGTATGTTTTCTTTCATTAAGTTTATTGATCTAATTTCCCATCAGTTCACTTAAAGACATTAAATAAGATGTATGTACCATCTTTTTTATTCCCTAGACTTCTCACAAGGTTAATTTGAACAAACAACATCCTGCTCGAACTGTTTTTTCTTTTTCTTTTCCTTTGTTACATGAAAGTGAAAATCTTCATGGGATGGAAGGCTTCCAGAATTTTCTCATTTCCAAGCCAGTATAGTAAATGACATTGGTGCCTCTGAGTGGACCATTATAGAAAGTGGTGGCTCTTGATTTCTTCTTATTTTTACATTTCTTATTCTCAGGGGGTATGTATCCCACAAAAGTCTGTAGAGGTTGAATTTGCCTGTGACACCAACAAAAATACCTTTGGTTGGCAAGGATGCCAGGCACCAGCCTGAGCTGCTCTCAGTCTCATTTCCAGAGCAAGGGCCTCCTGAGGCCTTCAGCCAGGAACCATCTGCAGTCTCAGGGGTCCTCTCGCAGGCCAAGGAAGTTCAGACTTGGGCTCTACCTCAGGCTACCCTCACCGCTCCTCTCCCTATTGGGCCTCACTGCACGTCTGCTCTTCCTGCCCTCTGCCAGCCTCCCCTGGCTCCTGTACTGGTTTTCATGGTTTGTGTGAGGAAGGCATGGGAGGAAGGACCCCAGCCACACACAGATTTCCTCCAAGCCCTTTCCAGCCTGCCAGAAGGGCTGACCACACACAGGTGGCTGTTGAGCTGTTAGCATGAGGCATGTGGGCCAAAGGGGTCTGGATCTGGATATTTTTTATTACTCTAAGTTGAAAAGTTAAGTATTTAGTCATATTTAATTCAAAGTCAAGACCCTGCTGAGAGAACTGTGGCCTCCTCACTGAAGGGTCCTGCAGCTTTGAAATGCTAGAGCAGGACCCTTTGTTCTTTCATGCGGCTGTGAGTTACGAAATCCTGTATTTCTTCAGAAGTATTTCATTTTGTGTAACGAAGTCAAAGGTCAGAATAACTCAGTGTTCCATGAGCTGGGCCTTTTTGTAGAATGAGCAGTAAACTTATGCCCTAATAAAGCTAGGTTAATTAAAACTATACTGCCTGTGTCTGGTGATCATCAAGGAAGGATATTGTGTTTCTTATTTTATTCCTAAGGTTTTGTTTTTTTTTTATTAGCTACTGTGTTCCTGCCAGATTTGGTGAGCGTGACACAGCCCAGGCATGTCCCTGGAGCATGCAATGTTTTTGGCTCTTCTAATGCTGCTGGAGCTGTATGTGGCTGCACAGGGGTGGATGTGGTGGGGCATCTGTGGGCCTGGGCCCAGAGAGCACCCAGGGGCTCCTCTCTCTGATCCAACTCCAGCTATATTCTGAGGAAGGAAATGAAGCTGACTATAGCACCTAATTGTCTTAACATTCGAGTATCGCATGTCATCTCCACAGAGAGGCCTTTCCTGACATCCCCCTTTCTGAAGGAGCTCATCCTACTCACTGCTCATCCTCTTTCCTTGTTTTAATTTTCTCATAACTGCATCTGAAATCATGTATTGATTTGTATACTTGTGTTTCATCTGCCTTGCCCAGTGGAATATAAATGCCAGAAGCAGGAGCAGCATCCACCCTGTCCCTGCTGTGTCCCCTGCACCAAGGGTGGTGTCTGACACTAGCAGACACTTGATAAATACTTGTTGAGGGCAGGGATTGCTTTCTTCTTATTCAAACAGCTCCTTGCAGCCCTGTTCTGAAAGTGGGGGCTTTCTAGTATCCCTTTGCAACTTCCCTTTTTTGTGTTTTGCCTCAGAAGCTCCAAAGGGCTTCCAATGAGGGTTCTCCAGCAAGATGTCCACTTCTCTCTCCCAGGCCAGCTCCAGAGTACTCCTCTCCCACCAGAAGGTCACAGAGACCAACAACTTCTCTATCCTCAAAAAAGATAGGTGCTTTCTATAAGGGTTTGCAGTCTTGAAAAATATTTTTATGCCAGGCCTTAGGCCACAACTCTTCATCAAATCAAGCATTTTCCAGCTGGCCTAGGACAGGAAGTCCTTCCCTACTAGGGCTGAGATCCATTGTCCAGTAGATTTCCGGAGTAAGACTTCATTCCCTCTGTAAATATTTAGCTGGAACCTAAAATATTAATGCTGTCCCACACACTCCAGGGAGAAAGCAAATTGCCAGAGCCTTAGAATGTCTCTGAATGAGAGAGCCTTTTCAACAAGGATGTGAGGAACAGCCCAACCTGGATGGGACTGACGGCAGGGTCACTGTTTCCACCCTCAGCTATCACTCCTGAATCATCCTTCTGAAAGAAGTGTGGCTCTTCTCCCAGGCCTAAACTGTGGCTCTCTGCTGCTTGTTGGTCTTCATTCTGCCATGCATTCATCCCTCTCTTCCTTGTTCCTGTCACTTCCTCTTCAGCCTTCCCTTCCAGCCCCTGACTCTCCTTCTTCAGCCTCTCCTAGAAGCTTCTACTGGCCAGCTCCTGCCCTAAGTATTGTTCCAAAGTCTACCGCATACAGAACTGATTTCTAGTGACTTTGGCATCAACATTGGTGGCATGTGGCCATGGGCCCTTTTAGGGCTGGATAGGCTCACTTCTCCTACGCCCTGTGCTGTGGCTTGAATTCGCAGTTTGCAACCAGCAGGTTCCAAAGCGTCTATTTATTCTTGAAGCTGCCTTGTTTCTATTTTGATTCTGCTAATCCAAATTGCAGTTTAGGGTTTCCACGGAAACAATTCAGTGATTGTTTGGCTTGCCAAGATGAACTGCGGGGGAGAGACCCAAATGACGTAAAACATAAAGTTTCTCAGGCATAACCAAGGTCAACTGTCGTCTTCCTGAGGAGGATTTGGTCCCAGCTCCCTGCAAACCTGGGGATATTTTATTAAATATATGTTCCAGGCTCCTGTTCCCCCTCCAGCTCAATCCCACTCCCTAAACCCCCATCCAGCCTATGAGTACACACATCTGCCCACTGTTCTGACACAGATGACAAAGGCAGGAGGGCCTCCCTGGGGCACCACAGGGAGCCAGGGATGCAAAGACAGGAGTAGATGTCACCAGGGAAATGAGGAGGCCCCCTCCTAATCTCAGCCTGGAATACCAGAGGCTCAAGCCTCACCTGCTTTACAGAACAGCTGTGTTTTTACAGGGAGGAAAAACTCCTCATTTAAAGATTCTAGGATAAATTACCTGTTTGGTAAATCTCAATTTTCACAAAAGGGTTTTGCTAAACAGAGGCACACCTGTCTGTATGGCCAGGGAGAGCCTGAACCCTCTCCCTCCAGCCCCCACCCCTGTGCTGAGCCCTCATTCCCAAGGGCCAGTCTCCACCCCTAGCAGAAGATATGCTCTCATTTCAAAGTCTTTCTTGGAGGCTTGGGGCTGCATGCCAAATCATAGCTATTCCCTCTGCACAGACCCTTCTGGGGAGGGACCAGCCTCTGACCAGTGACTGAGTTCCTGAGAAACAGCTCTGTGAGGCCTAAAGCATCCGGTCCTTGAGAACCCACCACCCTCAGGGAAGCACTGCCCCCATCGGGTCCTGCCAAGCACTCCCCTTGTGGCCCCCGGGCTGTACCCAACTTCCCCAAAGCTGCTAAAATTCAGGTCTGGGCAGGTGCCTGGTCTCAGGCTCTGCCCTCAGAGATTCCCATGGCTGACTGGTGAAAATGAGGGTTAAAAAAAAAAAATAAACAAACCCAGCAACTTTAAGTTCTTTTTACGGAAGTGATCCATGTCCACTGCAGATGAATTAGAAAATATGAGACAAAAATGACTATAACCCGCACCCTGCTATAACTAGTTTTCTGTGCTCGTGTTCATACATGCAAATTTTCACAAATAGAATCAATTACACTTTTTTTTCCTTTTTATTAAATACATTTTTAATTTTGGAATAATTTTAGATTTACAGAAAAGTTGTAAATATAGTAAGAGGGTTTTTATATATCCTTCACTCAGCTTCTCCTGATGTTAACATCTTACGTCGCTGTGGTACGTAATAGTAATTGGTACATTACTATTAACTAAACTTCAGATGTTATTTGGATTTCACCAGTTTTTCCATTAATGTCCTCTCTCTGTTCCAGGAGCCAATCGAGGACAACATAATGCATTTAGTCATTGTGTCTTCTTAGTCTCCTCTAGCCTGACAGTTTTTGTTATTATCTTTCCTTGTTTTTCATGACCTTGACAATCTTGAGTACTGGCCAGGTAGCCTGTAGAATGTCCCCCAATCTGGGTTTGTCTGATGTTTGTCTCATGATTAGAGTGGGGTTGTGGGTTTTGGGTAAGACTAGCACAGAGGTGAAGTGCCATTCTCATCACATCCTATCAGCAGGGGTAGGTGATATCCACATGACATCACTGGTGATATGAACCTTCATCACTTGGTTAAGGGAGTGTTCGCCAGGCTTCTCTGCTGTAAATGTATTGTTTTTCCCTTTCCCTAGTCTAGTCTTTGGAAGCAAGTCATTATGCCTAGTTCACCCTAAAGTGGTAGGGATGGGGAGATGCGTGTGGGAGGAATGGGTGTTAAGCTTCACCTCCTGTAAGAGAGAATCTACACATATTTAGAATGTTTAAGCCCTGGTGGCACAGTGGTTAAGAACTTGGTTGCTAACCAAATGTTGGTAGTTTGAATCCACCAGCTGTTCCTTGGAAACCCCATGGGGCAGCCTACTCTGTCCTATAGAATCACTATGAGTTGGAATCCACTCAACAGCAATGGGTTTTGGTTTGGTTTAAGACTTGTTTTTGTTTGTTTTTAATATCAAGTAGCCTGACATCCGTCCATCCAGACAGCCCATTCTCCACCTGAGTGGGGACAGCGGTGGTAGAGTACTGCAAGCATTTCTTCTCATTTGTTCCCATTTTTCCCGCTCAGGGAAAAAGAAATTTGGCCTCCAACTCTGACAGATGTGGGTGCTTATGGAGGGTGCCACCTCCCACAAGGACTGAGTGGTGGATGGTCCCAGGGGAGCCTCAGCCTCCTTCACCTCCTCCAGGCAGGGCAGTGGCAGTGCCACACCCAGGTGGGAGCCAGTGCATGGGCTGGGGAGACTCATGATGGCCTGGCCCTGCCATCATTCTCAGGGGCCCAGGCAGTCCTGAGCTGGACCTAGCTCCGACAAGGACAGGATGCGCAGCCTAGAGGAATCACGAGACCCACAGTGAAGGGGTGTTGCTGGCTCTGCAGCCTTGCCAGGCAGTGCCCTATGCCAGGGTCACCAGCCTAGCAGATGGCCCTGGGTGGGGGTGGGAGGGTCCCTTGGCCACTGGGCCCTGGGGACAGGAACTATCTTCCCCAGCTGTTTGGTTTGCTCTGGCTTTGGTTCTTGCGAACAGTCCCTATGTGAGCCTCCTCACTTTTACCCTCTCGTCTGAGCCCAGGAGGCGGGCACTTCCCTGTGATTTGGTTTCTGGAAGGCATGGAACCTTACCCAACAGCTTATTACGTTTCTGGAAAGAACATCATGGTTTCAGAGATTTATCCAAATAATTTTTGGAGATGGCCTTTCTTTCCAGAGGTGGGCTGGAGCCAGCTCTGCTAAGCCTTTGCTGATATGCTTGATCCCATGAGGGCAGTGGCCTCGCCCTTTCTTCACTCCCTGTCGTGCCCCAGCAGGGTCATTGCAATGGGAGCCCCCTGTAGTCTCCCAAAGTCTCCAAGCCTGGAGTGGGATGGGTGGGACCTGGTCTTATTTTGCCCTCCCTATCCCCTCAACTGAGGAACCAGGTGTCTGCTGTGGCAATGTGTGGGGGTGTGTGGCAGAGAGGCCTCATGGGACTGTCCTCTCAGGAGGGGACCAAAGATGCTGCCAGCCTTCTGATTCAACCAAGAGACCTCTGCAGAGGGCTACAGGCTGGGCAGGGGGCAGGGATAGGGGCGTTGAGGGGAGGTAGATCTGGGCATGAGGGGGGCATGGGGCCTGTTGTGAATTGAATTGTGTCCCCCCAAAAAATGTGTTGTAAATCCTAACCTCTTATGCTTGTGATTATAATCCCATTTGAGAATGGGCTGTCTTTGTTATGTTAATGAGGCAGGATTAGTGTAGGATGTGTCTTAAGTCAGTCTCTTCTGAGATACAAAAGATTAAACAAGCAAGCAAGAGCAGCAGAGATGGGGGAAGACAGACGCAAGACACCTAGGAGATTGTCCAGGAGCAGAAGCTCAAAGCAGGGCTTCACTCTGGTTCAAACCCCTGCTGAGAATTTGTATTTCTAATAAGTTCCCTGCTGAGAATTTGCTTTTTTAACAAGTTCTCAGGAAGGTGTACCTAAGAATCACCTGGGGATCTTGTTAAAATATATATTCTGATTCAGTATATCTGGGGTTCAAACCTGTTTGTTCTCAGCTCAAAGAGACAAGGACCTTCTTCAGAGCCAACAGAGAGACAAGCCTTCCCCTAGAGCTGGCACCTTGAATTCGGACTTCTAGCCTCCTAAACTGTGAGAAAATAAACTTTTCTTTGTTAAAGCCACCCACTTGTGGTATTTCGGTTATAGCAGCACCAGATAACTAAGACAGGGCCCATGGAGACAGGGGTCCCAGGAGAGCCAGTATGCAAGGGTGGCATAGGGCCTGGAGCCAAGGTCCAGCCTGATCTCAGTTTCTCTGTGCAGGATGAGCTGGTCCAGGATGGATGGGTCCAGGGGGTGCATGAGGCCCACTCTGGCTGTGGCCTGTGCACCTTTATCAGGGGCCCATGGAAAAGAACACCAAGAGACACAGCAGAAGCCCATCACCCACACTTGCCTCAGGTGCTGGATATATTGAACATCCATTAAAAAAAACACATTCGAGATGTCAAGAAACGCTAAAAAAAAAAAAAAAAAAACTAACAGTAAGAAACATTCCCAAGCAAAAGAATACAAAAACTGGGCTCTCGGCCAAAAAGGACACAACCAGAGGTTAAAAATGATGTGGTAATTCAGATTCTGCCAATCCTTTGAAAAATGTGGCCCCTGATGACCACCGTGGCTGCTGCTTCGCAGGCTCCTTAACGTCAGCCTCGCAGTCAAAGCTAAAATCAACTGTCCTATTCAATTTGGTATTTAAAAGAGGTCATCAAATTGTAGTCCTCTTCCAAGTCCAGCACAGTCTCAACGATATTGTGATCATCAAAAGCCTGCTCGAGACCGCCAGGGTCAGCATCCGAGGCCTTCCGAGGGCTCTCGTCCACGAGCAGGGCCCAGGCTTCCTCCTTGAGGGGTGAGTCGTCGCGGCGACCACACACGCGGTTTAACTCATTCTCAAATTCTAGTTTTCCAGCCAATTCTTCAATAGTTCGGATGCTTGTATGGTCTTAAAAATAAGAACATTCAGCTTTATATTAATAATTCCAGTGAGAGGTTTCAGAAAACATTTCAGACACAAGTTAAAAACCACATATGGGTGGGTGGTCACTCTTTAGGGACTGTACAAAGCCAAGCATTCCTGCTCAGGGCTCAGGCCCACAGAGAGAGGCCAAATAAAGATGGGCGTGGTACCCTCCTTTCAGGCCCAGCATTTATCAAACCCCAACTATCTGCCAGTCCCCATGGATGTTAGAAGGAGGGCACAGAGCTGCACATGCTTGTCCTGGCCTTCAGGGAACTCCCTGACCTACAGTGATGACAAGACATGGTGTGATGGTTACATGGTTACCGAAGTGCTACCTGGCACGGGCAGGGGCCGTGAAGGGGGTGAGCAGAGGCATAATGACTTCAGTTCATCTCTAGGGGAATGGAGGACTACTGGAGTGGTGGGCTGGCAGGGATCTTCCTTTGTGGTCTAGGGTGAGTACCTCCCCCAACCACGCCTCCTTTTCATCCCCCATAACTGGGAGGCCCTTCAAAGCCAAGTTTCAGGCAGCGCCCAAGGCTATTCATCCCTTAACTAGGAGCTGTTTGTCCACTGTGCAGTGTGAGCCGTTTAAAAACAGTTTGCACGTAGAATATACAGATATGTGCATAAAAAAATGTCTGATAGGATGTACACTGCTATGTTAACAGTGGCTATCTCAGAGTGGTGGAATTACAGGGGAGCTTTTGGCTTCTAATTTTTTTTTCTGATTTTGTATTACCCACCCCAGCTGGATTGCCCTCCCCTCCTCTTTGCCTCTTATTTCCTTCAGCTCTAAGCTCAATCACCATGTCCCCAGGGCCACTGTCCCTTTCCTGAGGGCTTCACTGTAACTAGATGTTTATGAATGACCTTATTGCTGTGTCCCCACCCCCCCACCCCCGGCCCGGCCCAGGCTGTCAGCTCTGTGAGGGCAAGGACAGGGCTGGTTTTGCTCACCGCTGTATGCACAGAGACTGTTGTGAGCAAAACAAATCTGGTGAATAAATGGATGATAGATAACAGGATGGCTTCTTATCTAAGACATTTGCTGACTCTGGGAGGCTGTGTGAGGGGTCTACCCTCCCAAGGAGAGGATGGCCCAGCACTCTGTACTCACCAATCATGTCAAGCAGATCCTTTGTGACTTCTTGGCTAGAATTGTTGAGTGGCATGTTTGAGTCAACCTTCAAATCTCTCTCCATATCTTTCCTGCAGCCCCAGGATGGGGGGAGGGGGAATTTGGGGAATTAGCTCTTTCAAGAAACTACTGGAGGGGAACTCAGTGTTTGTTAGATAAATCTTAAGGACAAAAACTTACTTGTCATTTACTCTGTAATTAGAGGACAATCAGAAACCGTTAAATCAGTGAAGAAATTGACTGAAAGCATCATCGTAATGGCTCATGAGCATCACCAACTGTGCACTGTTTATGATAACCATGATAAATATCTGTGGAGTTGAGTGGGTAAAACGGCCTCTTCATTTGCTGCCTATAGGGGAGCCAAGATGGTAGGACCAAACTTTCATTCCCAAGGTAGTCCTTGCTCCAAATCAAGGCATCTGGCACTGGGCAGACTGAAGCTACCTGGAGAAGAAAAGGTCTAGAGGAGACCTTAACCTGGGGACAGTGAACAGCTGGGGGGCAGGCAGGGACTGAGGCAAGAATGCAGCCAGGGAAGGAGGGTGCAGCCTCTCCCCAGTGTGGGTGGGCAAAGCCCCCAGTGTTAGACACTGAAATTTAGGTGGAATTAAGACTTTTGTTTCTGCAGCACAAAAAAAATAAGATTGATAAAAAATCAGGTTACTTAACAGTTTACTGCCCCCTTGAGTACTGCCATGACTCGCTTGACCTCCAGAATTGACAATATCCCACCCCTCGAACCCAAACACATACACAAAATATTAACTACTTCTGGGCCAGATACTGAAGAATGTCAGCTTAGTGTTCCCCAGGGGAGGCAAGGGCAGTGTCATAGACGCAATCTAGACTCTTCAAGAATGTTTTCAGAAACAAGAACTCCCTGAATCGTAAACTATCAGATTAGAATCACCTTAAACTTTCTTTTCTCCAGTTTTCCCCATCTCCTGCAGCTCTCCAAAACTGTCTTTCGGGTGCCAAAATGGAGGAATGCATCAATACGTTTTCCTTGCTGGTCAAAGGTTTTCTTTGGGGGCAGAAAGCATGTGGTTTTGCATTTACTGGGGCATGGTTTGATGCAAAGGCAGGGCTCTCGTTCTCAGCAGCACACGGGACCGGGACCGGAGCAAAAGGTGCAGCAGCGCAGGCAGCGAGCGGGTGTCTCCTGCAGAGGAGCTGGTGCACGGGGAGGGGGAAGGAGTGCTGCGGGGCATCCAGCTCCGGCCTCTGCGGGCCCGAACACTCCTGGGAATGACTGACTCCTTCAAAGGCCCGGTCAATGGCAGCAGTCAGCTCCTTTCTGCATCTTCTTAGTTTTTCAGACATTTCCCCTAAAAGGGACCATGTCTTTATTACGGAATGCATTGGAAACGCACAGACAACAGAATGACCTTACAGATTAGTTGGCAAACTACTCCCCAAAGGGACCTGCCACGATTTCCTTGAGCCTGACCCCGCGCTACACGCCCGAGGGCAGGGGAACCCACACCCTGGGGCTGTCTCCCCCGCGGTTCTCGGGGAGAAGCCCGCGACCTGGCTGGAGGAGTACCCGGACGCCCGTCTGCCCTACCGCTTCCCGCCCCGCCCGGCCCCCCGCGCCACCCTCGGGCCGGAGCCCCGCAGCCACGTCCTCACCGAGCAGCGTGGCGACACTGCCTGCCCCAACGGTCGCCACGCGTGCCCGGCCGGGCTGCCCCCACCCACGCGGCTCGGGTTAAAGGTCAGACAAAGCCCGCACCGGGTTCCGTACACCCGCGCGGCAGGGAGGGGGCGCCACCGCCGTGTGAGGGAGTACGGGCGCGGGGACGGGCTTGCGGCTCTCACTTCAGAACACTGACAAGACCGGGAGCCCTTTTCCAGGGCTGACACTCTCCAACGCAGGGTCTCGTTCTCCAGCCAACACAGGGAAAGTGACTGGGGGGAAGCACAGCGCCCAGCAGTTTTTTGTGTTCGGGCTTCTTTTAAGTGATACCACAGGGGTACCTCACTGTCAGTTTACAAAGGCTGGTGAGGTAAGTAAGGGAACTGCCGGGTTCCACTGGAGGTGCGAGGACAGGAGACCCCAACACTACACATCTCCATTCATTAGGGGAGAGAAGGCTGCGAATTCCAAGATGACTCAGGAGAAAGAGGAATGGGCTTCAGCGCTAACGCTTGGGAATTATAAACCCATCTCAGTGCACAGCAAAGGAGAAGGGGGATGCCAAGTTTGAGGGCTCGGTTTACTGTGAGCAGACTACTGAGGTGACCAGTGAACGGCACAGAACCAGAAATCCAGGCACTCAGGGCAGCCCTGCAGCAGATCTTCACGGCCAGCCACACCATGCTCCGTTATAGTGTGTTCCTCTCCATTCTTTGGAATCCATCAGACATACTCCACGGGGCCCCCCACCCCTCGCCCCCGCCCACACTAGAGCGCCACAGGTTTTACAGAAATCTCTCACCACCTGTTTAAAAAGAAAAATAATTCAGTCTCTTGACATAACCCTTCTGAGCAAACAAGGTCTTTTTTTTTTTTCTTCTGCTCATTAAAGAAGGGAACTTCGTCATCTGGTTTTTAGACTGAACACTGGCAGTCTTCAGAGCATCAAAGATGTCCTCCCGGGGAATTACACTGCTGCGGGTGGCAGGGTTGCCAAGGCAGCGTCAGTTGGTGTCCATGCTGCAAGCCTCGTCATCCCCCAATCCCTGCTGGGAGCTGCTTGGTCTCATCCCTCCATCAGAGGAACCAGGAAGAGTGATGGGTGACGGTGTCTTAGAAAACTCGTCATCCCGACGCTGGTAAAATAGCACATAAGCTGCTTTTGTCTAAAACACAAAAGGGAAAAAGTCCATTCACTGGAAAAATCACTGTTAGGTCTGGAGCATCCACTCTCCCTGGCTTCTTTCTCACTGTTCAAATCACACACTGTGTAGGGATCTGCTGTCTTGCCCCGTGCGTCCACACAGAGGTGACCGTGAAAGCCTTTCCACCTGATGCTGACTCTGCCAGGGGCATAGGGAAAAGCAGGTGCCTTGTAACACAGAACCCCGAGGAGAGTTGGCTACACCTTTAGAAGGGGTCCAGAAGGAAACGCAGCCAGCACTCTCTCTACCACCCCTAGCTCCCATTGTCACACCAGGATGACTAAATACTACACTAGCCCCAAACCCTTCCCAGCTTTAATACATAAAGGTAAGAGGAGGAGCCAGCATACTCACCACTATCTGATCCTCAGAGGCCAGGGACACGTTGCTATCATCAAAGTAATACCACTTCCCGTTCAATTTGTTCTTTGCATATGCAGTATCTGCCAAAGTCAACAAAGAAAATACTACAGCAATCACCAAAGAATGAATCTGGCTAGTTCACATAGGCTCACACTACGCAATACGTCTACACTTCTTAATAACAACAACAACTCAAAAACAAAACAAAACAAAAGACCCTGAAATTAAAAGTAATTCATGGTTTGTGTCTTAACAACCAAAGGATAACTCACCTTTTTGTTTCTAATTTGTTTCCTCTCAAAAAGTCTCCAAAAAGGTTAAGAATGGAGCTGTCATGGACCAAGGCTTTAAACTGTAATTTTGGGAAACTAACCCAAAATATAGAGAAATCCAATGTCAGTCTTCAGGCTGGCTGTGAATAACAATCCTGAGCCTGGGGCCCCGTAACAGGAACTGACACTTCTGAGATTTAAGCAAAATAATAGCTCTCAAAGAATGTGCCAAGTCAAACTCCCCACCGCATCCAGGCAGATGGCAACTGTGCTCAGCACAAGGCTCTTGGCGCCTCTGGAGCCTGCGGAGTAATCCTGGTTAGGGACGTGTTCAGTGTTTGGGTTTGCACAGCTAGGATGTGGATAAGAAGTCTTAAATGTATCTTTCTCTAAAACTGAGTCAAGAGTTTGTGACTGGATAACAATTCCTCACAACGGTCCAAGCATTTCCTCTCAGCCCACTCTTCCCGTCTTGATTTTACACTACTTGCAAGCAGACTGTGTTTATAACAGCAACGCCAGGAGTAATCTCTAATTCCTATTCCACTCAGATTCTAAGAAGCTGCCGGATCCAATGGAGATCTGGTTTCTAGTCTCTCAACTTGCTATTCAGCCTGCTTCCTCACTAACGTGCCTACTGCACAAGGTGGTGGTGGTGAGGAACATGGAAAAGGTGCTCAGGGCCGTGTCCACACTGTCTGTGCATGGTGTAACAGCAGCAATGGTGGCTTTCAATCTCGAGTTCTGACTGTGGGCCCACTGTAGGGCTGGACACCAGACCCTCAACCCAACCAGCATACTCTCACAGATGAGAAAACTGAGACACACAGAAGCTAAGAAACTTGCCCAAATAGTATGTTTATATGCTAAAAGAGCAGTTAAAAATCAAAAGGGGAAAAATGTAGAACAGAATTTCAAATTCTCATGGACGTCACAGACTTTCTGGAGCCACGGAGGCCAATGAACCCCTGAAACTATTGCCCTGAGATAATATTTAAACCTCAAACCAAAAATATCCCAAGACCTTCTTAAAACCAAACAATAGTTTAGCTTAATAGTAAAGAATGTCCACCTGGAGCATCCTGCTCTTTCAAGATCGATCTATATGGGAATTGGACCAAACTGACCTCAGCAACCCAAAAGATTAGATAGGAACCTTAGGGGGCAGTGAGTTTATGTTAATGGGGGAGGAACAACTCAGAAAAGGAGGGTGAGAATGGCTGCACAACTCGAAGAATG